GAGAGTACCTCTTTATTACTATTTCTATTTATTTATAATTTGCTCTTTATTACACAGCGATACTCTGTTTACAAACAAGTTAAATAACAACCTCCAACTAAAAGCAGCATGTTTACAAATGGAATGCTAAACAGAGATGAATAATGCGGGTTTCAAAGTTGTGTCGATGTCGAACATCTGTTGCACAGCTAGCAAGGAACCATGGCTTATGAGAGTACTGTGGTACGAGCTTACGTGGTAATATCTTGTGCATTTCCAGACACATACACATTGCTAGCACAGGTATCAGACAGTCCGAGCAAGTGAGTTCCCAGCACATAAACGTGCGGTTACATTTTTATGATCACATTATAGTTTGCAAGCGGCAGAGCTCGTGATTTTTAAAACGAGTACTGTTACCTCTATCTCTCTGTCTCTCTCTCTCTCTCTCTCTCTCTCTCTCTCTCTCGCCGTTCTCTCTCTCGCCGTTCTCTCTCTCTCTCTCTCTCTCTCTCTCTCTCTCTCTCTCGCGCTCTCTCTCTCTCTCTCTCTCTCTCACTCTCTCGCTCTCTCTTCCTCACTCACACTCTCTGCCCATCTGTCTGTCTTTCTCTTCCTCTCTTTCTCACCCACTCTCTCTCTGCCTATCTGTCTCTCTCTCGCTTCCTCTCTCTCTCTCTCTCTCTCTCTCTCTCTCCCTCTCTCTCGTGGAGTTCAACAAGCGTCGCTTGCTCATGCGCACACCTCCGTTCAATAAATTCTGATTTGCAGTAACGGTAACCGCGATGAAAACTTGACCAAAACTGTAGTAGCCATGAGGGCCGTTAAAGTAAAAATATTACTATTAGCACAACTGACCAACAATCACTTCGGCCCAGTTGCACGCATCCACATAAACACACGCACGCGCACGCGCGCACCACACACACACACACACCACACACACACACACACACACACAACACACACGCACACACACATGCACACGCACACGCACACGCACACGCACACACACACGCACACACAACACACATGGCCACACGCACGCGCACACGCACACGCACGCTCGCGCCCTGGCTTTCACCAAAACATCTTTCCTCACATAGAGAGACTCTACAAATCAATACACGGTTGGCCTATTCTATACATATACAAGCAACACTCGCGCTGGGCACATGTCTGTCTGTTCACATCTACGTAACGCTATCGCCATCACCTGTCGCCATCTATATACTCGCATTGAAAACTCGACAAACACGGACACATTTGTCGTAAAAAAATGCAGCAGTATACTTATTAGTGCTATTAGCACAAATGCTCTCGCGCATAGATGCCCCCCCTAGTAGCACAGGGGGGAACATTTCACTTGGGATACTGCCAACAACTGAGCACGAACATTGCGCAATCGCCTCATCCGACACGTAGGCTAGTAATGGCGATACATTTACAGATAGATACGCTTGAATAGATGAACGCAGTGAGAGAGCGACCACTATACTAAAGTTTCATCAGCACCAACAGAACTGTCGTATAACGTGAATGTGTAGATGTATGGATTAGGTCACGTTTCAATTATCTATTGTTTAGTGTATTCCCAGTATTCAGCAAAAATCATGACTGAAAGCATTTTGTTAAAACTATTTACTACCAAATCTATTCGTTTGTTACAAATTGTAACAGGCGAATAGATTTGGTTGTAGGTTTTAGCTTTGTAATACAACACGACTGCATGCAGCAAATGATCAACAGAAGTTTCCGCCTTATCTAGCATCTCGCTACTGAAATTCTGGGTTTCTACTTGAACCCGACTTCACTTACGGGCAACCTAATCTACTTTCTAAGCACACGTTAGCAGAGCAGGAAACTTTGGTGAACCGCCGCCAGCAGTGATTGAAATTTGAAGTCAGTAGCAATGACGTGTGTGGTTAGAAATCGATGCAGTAAGTGCCCAGCTTTAGGGCAGAAATCTGACAGAAAGCCTCGGGCAACCCACTCTCCTACAGTCTCTCACGTGGAGTCATACTCCAACACTCTTCTGACGGAAAAGTTCAAAGTCCGCTGTCAAATACACGCTAAAAAGATTTTACACAATTTTGCAGGTAATTGACATACCTGTCAACGATTCAAAATTGCACATATTTCAAAATTTCTTCAATTAATTATTCGAGTAATATGTACATGTATGTTAATATGGCTATTGTTACAATACAACTAGTAAGTAATGGTTAACACTCAACGACCTATAGAACAATGCGTTGAGTTGCTATTAATTAGGCATTCTGACAGAGTAACGTAACACGTACACCCTACACACACTATTACGGAGTATTACCTTCACTCTCACCACAACACATGCATACATCGCAAAGATAGAACATGAATCGAGAAAAGGCAATTAACATACTGCATATATGCACTACGGATATTTAATCAAAATCTGTTATATATTAATTACCAATTACAATATGAAAATACATATTATTATTTGTAATATGACTTCCATTCACATTGATTCCCTCCCCCCCCACACACCTTCCCTCTCTCCTCCCCGTGACCTTTCCCTTATAAAGTTGCAGACCCCCTTTACTTACCTGAGGTCTGAGGGGCTATCCTTCCTATTCATTCCCCTAAATTTCCTCCCTCTTCCCCACCCCTCTCCCATTTCTGTATAAATCAACAGGTTCTTTATAATTACCTGATGTCTGAGGGTCTGATTACCTGATTACCTTCCTATTCATTCCTCAGAATTCGCTTCCTCTTCGCCCACCAATCTCCCCTTCCCTTATAAAACGACAGGCTCTATCATTCAGTGACGTGGACTGTGACTAACCACTGCATCTGATGTCATGTTCCATTAACTCCCTCTTTCCCATTGCTCGCCCATTCCATTGTAACGCTGCAGTTTAAGCAGCCCTCCCTAAGTATTTTATCAAGAGCTAATAATACCTACACCCTACCTAATATTCTCTTAATCCCTAATCCCTACAAGGTATTATTAGCTCTTGATTTTACTGGTATTTCCTTACTTACCTGATGTCTGAGGGGCTATCCTTCAGGGACGTGGTCTGTGATGAACCACTGCAGTTGATGTCATGTTCACCACAGAACAGCGCCATCTTCCTCTCCGTGTAGTGCTCCGGACTTTTGTTGGAGCCGAAATCCGTTTCCGGACTGCACAGCACCAGCGGCTTGACTCCTCCTCCGCCGCCGCCGCCGCCGCCGCCGCCGCCGCCACCACCTTCTACGTCCTTCTTCTTCATAGGTGGCGCTGTTAGCTAACTGTCCTCGACACAAGACTAGAATAGTTCTGGTGATGAGATTGACTAGATTTCTCTCACATGGTGTAGGATGGGGAAGCCTGCAATAGAAACACACACAGCATTGCTATAAAAGACAGTATATATAAACCACTGATGAATTATTATTTTGTACAAGACCACAGGGTGGCAATTTACTTTTACGCGTGTATTGTGCGCAACTGGTTCACGTGATTATTTAGAGGTCGTATAATGTTTACTGCTGGCTGGGAAGTTTATTGAGCTACTGCAAATATAGTAAAAGGTTTCATTTAAAATAGTTGTGCATTCTGAATTTCTGAGCATGAATGCGGTGTGTGATACTAACTGACATGTATATGCATGACTATAATTTAAATAGTACTCATCTCACATCCATTCAGCAATAGTATTATACACAGTCAGAGTCTACTATTTCTTATGCCCATTGGCTGATGGTTTTACATAGTAGGAATTCTATTGTAAGTATTTGTTACATTGTTTTACTATATACATCGTCAAGTAAGTGCTGTCCAGCTAATTTTACGTATACATGTACACGGTCTATAGAATTGTTTTTGCTGTTCAATGTTATTCCAGTGATGACCTGGACAAACCTGTTGACAGACGTTTTGTCCCATCGCTATGACAACCGACCCGAACTGTATTCATTTTAAGCCACACAAAACGAGCGTTTCTTTCTTCAACCTTGCATGGGCACTGCAGTATCGCAGGCAATTAATCATTGTTACGGTCTCAGATTCCGGGCGTAATCAGCGCGCAAACACGCGGGCTGTCGCCATGTTGACATTTAAAATGGAAGCCATTCAGAGTTCCTGCCATGAATGAACGGACTCGAACCACCACTAATCCAGATCATATTATACCATTATACAGTCGAAATTCGAAGAGGCAAATTAACGTTTATGAATGTATAGAAAAGAAACGCTGTTTCACCTACGTAAAACCTTCAAGTGAAATGAACTTACGTATAATCTATAAATAATAGTTATCAGTGATACGGCATGAATTGGCTTTCAGGTTTTAGTTAAATTATTTCACATTTTACCTGGCTAAACAAGGTTTAACTAACCTCTAGATACACATGCAGTAATAGAAATTAACACAAATGCTGAAATAGCTCCCACAAATATATACTTTGAATTTTATCGGTAATGCTTTTATATAAGTTAATACTTAATAATGTTAAAACTGCTTTATTAGGAAGCAGTTTCCTGTTATAGGCTCAAATTGTGTTTGTTAAAAATAATTATATATATATGCACCCTGATTTTATCATAATTGTGAGTATGATATTTTAAAACAAAAAATATTTACATTTTTTGACAATCAATACAAGTTTAACTGCAGAATGCAGTGATTCCAATTATTTTCAATCAGATAGGACAATCTAGCAGCAGTGCGTATTAACTATACTCTGTAAAAGATGTGAGCAGATGGCAATTACTGAATAGCAAAATTGTGACAAATTAGCTTATATATGGTGAGTCACATAAGTACTGCACATTCGCAGCAAAGTGCATATAATTTGAAAAGTGAGTAATTTAATCCAATCAACCAAGTCGATCTAGTTGTAAGTATAGGACAACACGACCATGTTTAGGGGTTGGCGGATGCACGACCATAGAAAATAACAAGTTAAAGATAAGAGCTTGAATTTTCGACAACAGTTCCCTGCACTATTCTACAATCATTATAATATATATATCATCATATACAGGTCCATGCCAGACCGAGTCTGCCATACAGGGTCTGAGGAATGATGATTTGCACACAGGGGATAGTATAGGTAAGAACTATGATCTAAGAAGTGTAATTGTAGATATGATGAAACGTGAAGATTTATGATGGATATTATCTCAGTTAGACATGAACCAACCACATAATATAACTGCATAGCGACAAAAATACACGACTCTGTCGTTTGCACTGGAAAACCAGCATTTTTAAACGTTCAGGCACTGAATGTGCAAAAGTACTGATTGACTGAACTGCATGTGTTTAGCAGCCAGCTTGACTTTTTTTAATTACGGAACTGTATGAATACTGCTGGTGTACTTCTATGCAATGAATGTGTGCACAGCATGTGAGCTCTTTTTTAAGACTTTAACATTTCTCAAGTCATAAAAACTTTAAAACTTCAAAGCTTTAAACCTTTAAACTTCTTTAAGCTTGAATGGATATCCAGCTATTCACTGCAACTCAACCGGCACAATAAACAGTACGTGGAGGTATAATTAAATTTGTTTAAACGATTACAAATGTGAACACCACGTGTAGAAATCACGATGCTAAGCATGTCTGTAATATTTTTGGCTGTATGCCTACTGACAAAATTCGAAACTGCAAAGTAGGGTTACTGCAGGTGGGATGCCTAATTTTAACCTGCAAGAACAGGCAGTAACTAAGGATGAAGTAATTCCACAGTATTTTCAGTATCAAACATTAGCAGCAGGGAGGGTCATCAGCACCACAACTATGCATATGCATATATATATATATATATAACGGAATATTGCACACTGTAGCAAGTTAGCAACACACAACTATATATAGATGTTCTCTCATACTGGGGCTGTATTTCTCGCACAGCTAAATTATGCTGCAGATAGATGCAGCAGCAGCTTCCAAGCACGGCCCAATACAGTACAGCCCTACCCACACACAATCCTCACACAGCTAAAATTATTGCTGCCGAATAGAGCAGCAGCCAGCTTCCAAGCACGCCCAATTACAGGTACAGCCCCTACCCCACACACATCCTCACACACCTAAATTATGCCTGCAGATAGATGAGAGTAGCAGCTTCCAAGCACGCCCAATTACAGGTACAGCCCCGACCCACACACATACTCAACAGCTAAAATTATGCTCAGATAGATGCAGCAGCAGCTTCCAAGCACGCCCAATACAGTACAGCCCCTACCCCACAAACATCTCACACAGCCTAAATTATGCTACAGATAAATGCTATTGTGATGCATGCAGTAAGCCACTACTAGCCAGCTTCCAAGCACGCCCAAATAATACAACTACAGCCCACCCCACACACACATCCGCACACAGCTAATTATGCTACCAGAGAGATGCCGAGCAGCAGCTTCCAAGCACGCCCAATACAGTACACTGCCGTACCCACACACAGTCCTGCACACAGCTAAATATGCTGCAGATAGAGCAGCAGCCAGTCCAAGCACGCCCAAACAGTACAGCTCCTACCCACACACATCCTCACACAGCTAAATTATGCTGCAGATGATCAGCAGCACTACTAGCAGCTGCCAAGCACGCCCAACAGCACAGCCCCGTACCCCACACACAGCCTCACACAGCGCTAAATCTAGCTGCAGATAGATGCAGCAGCAGCTTCCAACACGCCACAATACAGTACAGCCTCCTACCCACACGACATCCGTCACACAGCCTAAATTATGCTGCAGAGAGATGCCCAGCAGCACTACTTAGCAGCCTTCAAGGCACGCCTCAATACAGTAACAGTCTCCTACCTCACACACATCTCACACAGCCTAAATATGCTGCCAGAGAAGCAGCAGCAGCTTCAGCACGCCCAATACAGTTACAGCCTCCTAGCCCACAACACATCCTCCACAGCTAAATCTATGCTGCAGCATAAATGCACTAGCCACTACTAGCCAGCGTCCAAAGCACGCCCAATTACAGTACAGCTCCTACCCGACACACACATCCTCACACAGCTAATGATGCTGCAGATAGATGCAGCAGCCAGCTTCCAAGCGGACGCCCAAATATACAGTTATCAGCCCACCCACACACATCCTCATCACAGCAAATTATGCCTGCCAGAGCGCCGCAGGTCACAGCTCCAAGCACGCCCAATACCAGTACAGCCCCCTACCACAAGAACATTCTCACACAGCCTAAATTATGCTACAGATAAATGCGCGACTGTCATTAGCAGCTAGCACGACACAGCTATCCAAGCACGCGCCAAATAATACACTACAGCCCCCCCCACACACACATCCTCACACAGCCGAAATTATGCTGCAGAGAGAGCCACAGCAGCTTCCAAAGCACGCCCAATTACAAGTACAGCTCCTACCACACACACATCCTCACACAGCTACAAGTATGGCTACAGATAGATGCAGCAGCCAGCGTCCAAGCACGCCAATACAGTACAGCCGCCGACCCGACACACATACTCAACACAGCGAAATTAGCTGCCAGATACATGCACTAGCACTACTAGCAGCTTCCAAGCGACGCCAAACACTACAGCCCCTACCGCACACACATCCTCACACAGCCCTAAATATGCACAGATAGAGTAGCAGCAGGCAGCTTCCAACCACGCCCAATACACTACAGCCCCACCCCACACACATCCACACAGCAGCTAAATTATGCTGCCAGATAGAGGCAGTAGCCAGCCTGTCCAAGCCACGCCCAATACAGTACAGTCCTACCACCCACAACATCCTCACACAGCTAAATTCATAGCTACAGATAGATGCGAAGAACAGCTTCAGCCACGCCCATACAGCTACAGGCTGCCTACCCACACACATACTCACACAGCTAAATTATGCCTGCAGATACAGCACAGCACTACTAGCAGCCTTCCAAGCACCGCCCAATGACACTACAGCCCTACCCCACACACATCCTCACACAGCCTAGAATTATGCGACAGATAGTATGCAGGCAGCAGTTCCAAGCAGCGCCCAATACAAAAAAAACTACAGCCCGCTAGCCCACACCACACATCCGCACACAGCGAAAATTATGCGTGCAGAGGCGCCGCCACCAAGCTTTCCCCAAGCACGCCCTACGGGTACAACGTGGCCCACCTCCACGTGCAGCCAGCATCTTCAGCGAGATACTAATAGCTACACAAAACACACACACAGCGTCGATCCGCTCGTCATGAGTCCCACCACGACACAGCCGGGTCTATGCGCCTCGGCAGAGTCCCACCACAACACAGCGTCTATCGCGCGGTCATGAGTCCCCACCACAACACAGCGTCCTAATCTGTCCGCCACTGTCACGTCCAACGGATGACATCATCCCTACTTATCAGAGACAATTGGTGCTCCGCCGCTTCGCATCGCTCGAATCATTGTCCCCAGCTTCCTGTTTCTACGACGCCGCCGCATATTTCTCCGCCCTGCCTGGGTCGCAGTGGGCGCTGCGAGGATGGCCACACAGATCAATAGAGCGCGTACATAGGACTTTGCGCACCAAATTTATGAAACAACGCGCCCGGTCGGTTCCAGCATCGCAGGTAACGGCGGCATGCAAAATCTCAGGGCTGAGTCGCAGACGAGTAAAAGCTGAACGTATAGAACAAATAGTATCAACTGTGTCAGGTCTGGATTCGTAGGCGAGGAGAACGCCGCCAACTGAGCATGTACACGCAAACCACCCAGCGTACAAAGCCTCTAAACGACACACGCATATGCACGCACGCACAATCACACGCACGCACGCCACACACAATCACACGCACGCCACACCGACGCCCGACCACGCACGCACACACACACACGCCACGCACACACACACACAACACACACATGCACACACGCGACGCACGCAACGCGACGCACCGCACGCACGTACGACGCACGCAACACACAATCCACACCACGCACGGCACGCACACACACGCACACACACGTCACACACACACACACACACACACACACACCACACACACATGCGCACACGACGCACGCATCACACGCACGCACGCCACGCACGCACGCACCACACTGTATAACGGCGAGCCGTACAGCAACTTGGCTTCACTGGATGCATCCGGCCGCCAGCGAGCAGCGAGCCAGCAGCATACAGAAGCTGAGGAAAATGGCCGCTCTAACCAACAAATAATCGCGCAGCAGCAGCTGCTTCTGCTGCATGGGATATTTCACTCGGACACCGATTTAACAACACAATAAATACCGTGGCACGCCGACGATGAAAAGATTAGTGCATCGAATGGATTCACTAGAAAATACTAGTTACTGCTTTCAAGTCACAAATTGTCGTACATATAGAAAAACGCTCACATGCACAGAGAGCTTATTCGCATTGCACTACACATGTACACTGTACTGTGTACATGCTCCACGTAAGGGTATCTGATGCTCCAACGGTGAAGCTCAAGATATGGGAATGTTTTATTACTCTACCATCTCAATATCACCATCTCATGGCTCAACTTGGGCATTGTAAACGCTGAGCAATGCCTCGAGACACACAAATGAATTTCTAGCTACGAATAAAAAATAAACTTTTTAGTCAGACAGCGAATACTTGCTGCCAGAGAAAACGGCAGGCTGTTTCTAATCCAGACAGAAACTTTGGTGCGTTTAGTTTACTATGGTTTAATAGGAATTTCTTGGCAGCATTACAGTATTTGATGCTGACGTTGAGAGCAGGTAGAAAAATTACCCTTGTACGCAGCAAAAATTGCTGCTTGCTGCCCTTAATTTTGTACCCTGTATCATGTGATAAGTCGATCGCCATGTTGTTTACAGGCTTGTTTATGCAAGAAAATGGATAGAAATAGGCTGCCTTACCTCCGAAGAAATAGCACGTTCTTGAAAGTAATGTGGAATAGCAGTTTGCAGTTTCCAGATGGTAATTATGTGCTCATCATTTATAAGGCAGACTGATATGTAACAGCATATATATAATCTTCTTATTTAAATCTGATACTCTCTAAAGCAGAATTTACAGGATCTATAGTTAAAATAGCATTCGTGCAATACCTGATTATACTATCAGTATCATGCCATCTCTTTCCCCACTCACCATCCCTGCGTTCTTCCGTTCTTCCTCACTCCCTTTCTCACATTACTTCTCTCTCTCTCTCTCTCTCTTCCTCCCCCCGGTCGTACTATCTTGCATAATTAGTTTTCTCTCACTTTTTGCCTCTCTTTCTCTGTCTCTTTCCCATTTCCTCCTTCTTATCTCTATCTTTGCATCTTTTTTTATTACTTCCCACAGACATAGAGCAACAGAGACACAAGCTAATTAGAACCAAAATGAGGTATATTTTCACATATATATATATATACTCTATAAAACCCCATTTCTGCCCAACTATAAGTATAACTTTACTATACTGTATACAATTATATTACAATAACTCTAGCTATACAACTTTCATGATATATATATGTATCTTCTTATTCGCCCCATTGGATACGTGTGCTTTAATTTGGAGCAGGTTTGGTCTCTGAAAGCTATCTTGGACAACATAACAAGATGCTTTGGTACCCTGCTAGGACCTACATTCATGTATGGCAGCAGGATAGGGGAGATATGTTACTGGGGGCTGTTGTCAGAAACATCGTAAAGTTAATGCTAATTATGTTAATGCTAAGATAACACTTACGACTAAAGTTAATGTACGAGAGGAGCGTTGACAGAAACACATCGCAGCTATTAGAAAACTTACGATAACAGGAACTTCATCACAAGGCTGCTGATTGGATGAAAATCGATCACAAAATTCAAATTCATACACATTTATTGAACATCACAGTAATTTATGCATATTATGATGGCTAACCACATATAAATAATATTTGATGAAAAACGACGCGCTCATGAATTTATTCTGGACAACAAGACAAATTCTCACACTGTAACACGAGACGCAAGAGTCGTGGCAAGTGTGGCAAACATTTAAAACAAGAGAACAAATGCCATACGCCATTTGTAAATGTATTGTTTTGTTTTATGATCGGTAAATAATTAACGATTTTGACGTGTTTTCCAAGAAAAACACACATTTCAATCATTATTATAAAATATAATATCACTATAATTGTAATTTGTAGTGTAAATTGTTATTTTCAACTTATTATTAAAGTTACAAGAGGGTCTCGGCTCTCGTAATGTTAAGAGGATATTTTCGAGGATTTTTCATTCTCGTAACGTTGCGATGTTTCTGTCAACAGTTACGAGTGGAAGTTAATGTTAAGAGTAATTTTGTTTCTGACAACAGGCCCCTGATACATAATACAGTGACACTAGTGTCTACCAATTACGAGTCTCATCTATGTCACACACATAGTGATAGTAGAGTGAATGCTAGAGGTGCACCGAATCCAACTGTTTAAGTTCCGGCCGGAACCGGAACGGGCCGGAACTTGAAAAAAGTTCCGGCTGGAACTACCTGGCCGGAACCGGAACTTTAGCTTGGAATAAACTTGACAGTGTTGGCCCAGTATTGCGCAAACTCACTCGGCCTGAACAAAATATCATTAGCAGGCACATCCCTTAGGCGAGTAGGACAATGCTCAAAGTTATAATTACAGGATGGTTGTTACTGTTAGGTGTATGAATCAGCTGCTTACAGTGCATAATTTGCATAATTCTGGCATCTTATTCACGAGCGAATTCTGTGGCAAAACCTGCATGTTGCAGTATCCCTGGTTTTAGTCTATTATTTTCAACTAACAGACAGATGCGATTCCTGTGGCTCTAAGAGTATTTGATTTTGAAAGAAAATCTTATGAATCACCTAACATCAGTTAGGTTCAGTTCAGTTAGTTAGCCAATGTTCAAGTGGCAAGCGTTTTTTGGGCAGAAAAGTGTGAAGTTGTTAACACTATTGTCAGCAAGTTGACTATTGACTCTCAACTACATTCAGTGACTAATCTTTTGATTTTGACGACACTTGTAGCAGAAATTAAATTAGGAAAAAGTTCCTGTTCCGGCCGACTGTTTCTGAAGGGTCCCGGTTGGAACCAGAACTCTGAAAAATTGGGGATCCGGCGGAATAGTTCCGGCCGGATCCAAGTTCCGGTGCAACCCTAGTGAATACTATAATATTAAACACTGTATAAATGATAAGTAATAATGATAATTAAAGTCGGTACATCGATCAAAAGACATCTAATCTATTATATATGACACTGTTGAGTAATAAGTTGAACTTTAATGCGTCCAATTCATGCTACCCAGATTTTGTATAAAAGGTGACATGGGTTGATCAACGAAGAACTTGCAACTACAGAGTGGGGAATTTAATGCAGATAACACCTGTACTAACGTCACACTGAGTAGCAGTAGATTGTAGAGCCACACTAACAGTAACACAGTAGCCAGTACACCGAGTCGTACACAACAGTCAACACTATAGTCTATAAGTATAATAATACTCTCATCGAGTCTCACTGTCTCAGTATTGTCGAATTATTTTAGCCCATCCTTAGGCTTAGCCTTTACTCTTTAAGTTTAGGGAATGAAAAACGCTTGGAAGCAATTGTGACCAGTAGATGAGGATTTATGGTGCATTCAAACAGTACCAGAATTCTTAATTCTATGTAAAACATGGTAAAACTATCCTGACAATCGATAAAACCCTGTACTAGGCCTACTCTGTACACTGTACTCTGTAGTCTGTAGGGCTTCAGTAAGTATCTTGATCGCAGCAGCGGCCAGTGAAAACAGAGTTCCGAACGTAACATGTTTGTTATTCCAAATCGAAACTACGGTAACAAAAGCAATCTTTGTAATGTTATACTTACAGAAGATATGTTCACATAATTATCCGCCTGTCCGTATATATATCCTAAATGGTAATACGTTAGTATTCATGATTTTTTCCCGCACAACATACAAACAAGCAAGGAATTTTTCTTCGCCATCTTGCTTCAGTTGCTTGTCCAATTTATGGACAATAACGGTGCTTTCGTATATATGCGGCAAAACTATTAGAGAAGACGTGGAGTCAGTCTCCGTTAACGCGGACGTCATAAGCATGACAACCAATGGTGGGTCGTAAACCTATCCCGATAGGCAATAAGCAACATGTCGCTGTGAGTGTAGTAAAATATATACGTTTTCGCCCATAAAATTTGAATTAGCACCAATTTGCAAGGTATTTGTTTTATCAAGAAAAGTTTTATTAATTTAAACTACGTTTTAAACACTTTCTGTATATTAGGTGAAGAAGTTTCGTAATATTCGTGTATAATTCCACGTCAAAAACTGCGATTGGTAGTGACAGTGTCACTGTCAGTGCTACGACAGACTCAGAGGGTGTATAAATAAAATATGGACTCACGATCGCAGGCACTTGGGCCGTTTAAATAATAAAATGATGTCAAATAAACACAAATTGTATTTACTACTAAATTATCAATGTTTATCTACTCTACTCATATATAAATCAAAGAAGAAATCACTATACGTGTCACTGTGTCAGTGTGTGTGTGCACGCCTGTTTTCATGATCATGCATGGGTGCGTGCGCGCGTGCGTGTTTGTGTGTGTGTGCAGGGGTAGAAATTAACTTTTGAACACGGGAGTCCAACGGGCTCCCTACCCTCAAAAAGAGGGAGTTCGCAGCAAAATGAGGGAGTCCGCAGTCTGAGGTTCAAAATTAAAGATATTAACAATACCGCATGTGCTTATTTTTAAGATTCATGCGGTTGCACGTCTGCCAAATTTTCTTTGGACATTAGCTGAAAAAATGCGGTAATTCCACGAGGCCGTGCTCTGGAACGAACTAGTTAGTATGGCAGAATTTCCAGGGAGTCACACGGATTCCTGCATATGTCAAATCAGGGAGTCCGACAGTAAATCGGAGAGTATTTGACTCCGGACTCCCGTTAATTTTGCACCACATGTGTGCGTGCGTGCGTGCGTGCGTGCGTGCGTGCGTGCGTGCGTGTGTGAAGCTTTGTCTTTGCCTTTGGCGATGAGCATACATTGCTAAATTTTATTTCAAGGATGTCTGACATCATGCAAAAGACATTTGCAGCGTTGCCTGGGCTTCTCCAACAAAGCATGGCTATGTCTAGTAGCATCCCACAGACCAAGAGCACAGGCGTTGGAATCGGGGTGGCATCTATTAACTTTCAAACTTTCATCCAGACTGTTCGTAATATCAAGTCTAAATATGTAAGTTGTCATAGACAATTAGAAGGTATTACAGTTAGAAATGCAATCTTATTGGTATAAGTATCATTTGAGATATTATTACTAATTTGGTTTGGCTCCTCATAGTCATAGTCTTTTAACTGCATATAAGTAAAACTTATATAAGCGAGTATGACACCTATTGCTCTGCACAATACTGGTATACCTCACAAATTTGTACATCAAATAAGTCGATCATTATTATGTAACTGAGGCAATTCCAAGAATATACCTTCTTTTTTTTAGTTTATTGAAATAAAATTAGTAAACTGCAAAGTCATGTAGAACGGCATGAATATTATATTTACCACTATTATAAACTGGAAAAAAATGCATGAAAATATAGCAACACGGGTGTTAAAATTACTTGACTATCACAGCTTATCGATAAATAAATAAATAAATATATGCTTATATATTCACAGGAAGAAGAACTGTTCGTAAATAATGAGTTGATGGAGATGAAACAACAGCTGTGCCAAGCTACCATTTTACCCGTAAGAATGTCTCGTTCATATCAAGACATAATGTTAAAGTAATAGTTTTATTAGTTAAATGTAATTTGTAAACAGTAGTCAGTTTTTCACGATTTTATTTGGTGAAACGTACTTGCATGTTTATGCATTTTTTTTAGGTGCAGATGAATGAGAATGTGATGAAGATGATATACTGTGAAATGCTTGGCTATCAAGTCCCATTTGCTTACATCCATGCTGTAAATCTTGCACAGAAAGGGACACTAAACAATAAGAGAATAGGTTAGAATTATAATAATCATTATTTATATTTGTGTTGCAACGGAGTCTGCACTTATCTGAAATTTAATATAATGAAATGCTATGCAATAGTATGATAACCTTTGAAATGTAGTGACACTATAAACATATATCGAAACATTCTGTGACATCTTTAGTGCTATCAGTGAGGTGAGGTAATACAATGAACTAGATCTGATGCTTAATGTCTGTCATAAATGTGCTTATGAACATTGACATGCATATTTCCATGTCACTTACACTATCTTGGTAAAATTGCCTGCCTTCCCCCATGTAAATTATTGAATATGTTGCAGCTTAACGCAATCCTAGTCATTCAGGTATTTATTTGACGAGGGAACAACAGTGAACAATGACTATCTCTCCGTCATCTCCATTACTTTCACAGGCTACCTCGCTGCTTCACTTTGCTTTGATGAGGATAATGAGTTAGCTCTGCTGCTTGTAAACACCATACAGCGTGACATGTCGAGCACCAATGTTCTTGAGGTGTGCATGGCACTCAATGCATGTACCTACTTCATCTCAGCTGACTTGGCTCCACTCATCCTCCCAATCGTACAAGACAAGCTTAAGCACGAGAAGTAAGTACCCCCAGAAAAAGTAGTGATTAGTGACTAGGAAGGTTAAGAGTAAACTCATACGCATGGGAAGTTCTCTACATCCATACTGCGACACACACATAAGGTAACTTATGCATAATTATAAGTGCTTCAATTGTTGTGCATACTAATGTGCATAATTAGTGATTTACTTGCACATCAGCTGCGTAATGAGTGAGTTTAATCGAAGATAGATGAATCCAGCATACGGAAGCATTAAATAATATTCCATTACTGCAGAGCTGTAGTAAGAAAGAAAGCTGTCCTGGCTCTGGGCAGCTTTCAGAAACAGAATCCCTCGCTGCTGCTGCATCTTCAGCCCAACTTCCGGCAGGCGATGGGAGATAAAGATACTCGAGTGATGGAGGCTACACTGAGTGTTTACCACAGGCTGGCTCAGGTAACCATGGTTACCTCCCTCAGCATCACTTACATAATTATTCCTATGAACTTTACAATTAACTGTTTACTTACAATACCTCTGAGACAACTGTTATTAGCCAAAGTGTCCAGATTACGTAGTTTCTGTTAAAACATGATGGATTATTTATGTAAACAACCGACTTCGGTATACCTCTGAGGCAACCTATATCAGTCAAAGTATCCAAGTCATGTAATTTCCCTTAAAACATGATAGGTCACGTTCTAGAATATAATATTATAGTATCCAGTGCTCAGCCATATGCACTCTTTGTCAACAACTAGGTAACATATCTATGAGATTATTGCAGAATAATGTCTTGTAGCACAACTGGGCCCCAGCAGTAAACCCTAGGTCTGGTTATATGCTCAAGTAGTATCTTCTGTTATGTCATATAATAACCTATTACACTATGCTATTACATATAAATTTACCTTGGCAAGTAAGCTTAAAATTGTTGCAAAACAATTTGTTTTTGCTATTTTTCTATTATTACTTTCCTATTAAAGAAGCAAAAGTATTACTTGTTTGATCATATCATGTGAAATGTTTCAGGATGACCCAACAAAGTTTAAAGACCTTGTTCCTGCTCTGTGTCATATTCTTGATCAAGTGCTGGATAACAGGCTGCCCACGAGCTATGAATACCACAGTGTGGCCGCGCCCTGGCTGCAGATACGACTTCTTAAGATCATGGCTATACTTGGAGCAGAAGATCAAAAGTAAGACTATATATATATATATATATACACGTATATATATACATGTATATATGTAATATATACGTGTATATATATATATATAGTAGTTGCAATGACCTGTGGACTGACAATGTAGATTATTACAGAATTGTTAATACCATAACTTTAACAAAAATTATATTGTTATTTATAAATTTGTGCAAACCAAATGTTACAGAGAAAGAGTCCGTGTTTCAATGATTTTACACAATAATTTAACTTAAAGGCATGGATGGTATATTTCTATTTTCTCATGGGTAGTATAAAAACAAATATACATGTGATCCTAAAACAAAGCAATTCATGACATCTCTTCCTAATTTCATTACTGCACACCTGTTATTGAATTAGTTGCCTGATTAAATTGTTTCGCTTTTTGGTATCATTGCAGATCTAGCGAACAAATGTATGTGGTGCTAAGAAAGGTGATGCTAAGGTCATCTGTTAATCAGTCTATTGCAAATGGTAAATACTACACCTCAACAGAGATTTCAGACGAATTTAGAAATTACAAGAGGCTACCCTAACCCTTTATGACAGTTCAACCTTAGGGTAACCACATGCTATAAATATTAACTCGCACTCCTGGTAACGCGTGGATTGACGATGGTGTGTTTGGTATTGCAGCCGTGACGTATGAAGCCATAAGGACGATCACGACGATTGTTCCTAGTGCAGACCTAGTCAACGCAGCGGTTAAATGTGTGGGCAGCTTCGTGTTGTCACGCACCAGCAATCTAAGGTACCTGGGTAAGTTAGATACTCATTACACAATCTCATATATATCACAGAACTGTTAACCGGGGGGCATTCCCACGATTGGCCTTACTACTTGATATGCACGTTGTTAATTTCACCCTAGAATTGTGATGCTTTTGTACTACAGTTACGCATGTTTTTTCGGCAGGTATCAAGACTCTGTCTTTCATTCTACCACACGTGCAGTCGACATGTGCACAGGAGCATCAGGCTGTAGTTCTAGAGTGCCTTGATCACCCTGATGATTCCATCAGGAGAATGGTGAGCACCGAATCATGCTTCATAGTGTGTAACCGACTGTTGCTTCACAGTTTATAATTAGTAACCATGGTTACACTCTTGTTCTCGATGGTATGGATCAACGGGCCACGCAAATGTTCTGTGTTTAGTTTTTCATCTTAATAGTGCAATATGATAAATGATACAGTAGGTTCTATTAATCCACTAATAATCTATTAACCTAATTGACCACATATGATGATATATATATCTCAATCACTACATATACTATCAGGAGTGTAAAATATAGATACTGTCTATAATATAAATATGTATAATATAAATACTATCTATAAGATAGATGTGTATAATATAAAAGCTATCTATAATATAGATATGTATAATATAGATACTATCTATATATAGATTATATAGGGCCATAATAAAAAATATTTGTTGTTTGCCCTCCCCCGACCGACCGCGCCAAAAAACGGCGCCGACTCAAAAAAACTTTATTGATCTTTTCCATTCTTTTTTTTTGCAAATTGTATCACTGTACATTATATAAATCTGTAGGGACAATACATTATATTCAGGAGTGAATAATAGAAGAAGAATCTCTCTAGTGAATAATAGAGTGAATAATCTCTATTATTCACTCCTGATTATATGTACAAGCAAAACAAACATTTCAACATAAAGCTATCTCCACACAAGCCACACCGATCATGTAGACACCATGCGGAATTTGTAAAAAGAACCCCCTCAAAAAAAGAAAAGCCTACATGCCTACCCAAACTTTTTAGCCTGGCGTCGGGCGAGGGCAAACAAAAATGTTTTATTGTGGCCTAATATAGATACTACTAATAATATAGATCTGTCTAATATAGATACTATCAAGACGTATAAAGAAGGAGAGCCATACAACGCGTGAATGCTGAAACCATGTTGCAGTATTAGTCGAATTAATAAACTTTTCCCCGTTTTATTTTGACGCGTCTTTGCAGTATTATTGATCAGCTGTCCTACCTTGTTAATATAAAACAAACCGCATGTCCCTACGATGCCCCTACGCTGAGATAATGAGCAGCTGAAAATCTGGTATTTTTGCCGAAAACCGACTCCAGATCAGTCAGTACTGCGACTGTCTCTCGTTTTAAGCCACTGTATGTTGCTTCCGGTCGCGCTGTGTAGCGCTGACTCGATACGTTATTACTACAGCGTTACTACATCCAGCGTAAGGGCGGCGTCATCACCATGGCGATAAATAACAAGACGTTCTTTTGTGGAGTAATGGCTGCGTCAATGACTGGGAAATCCAAGAAAAGATAGTAGAAGGAAAATAAATTTCATTGTCAATGAAATGCGGAAACACACGCGAGGTTTCCCGAAGCTATGCCAGAACGAGAGACAGTCGCAGAGTACTGACTGATCTGGCATCGGTTTTCGCGCGAAAATACCAAGCATTTTCACCGCTCATTATCTCAGCGTAGGGCATCGTATGGACAAGCGGTTTTGTTTTATATTAGCAAGGTAGACAGCTGATCAATATACTGCAAAGAATTATCAAATAAAACGGGGGAAAGTTATTAATTTGACTAATACTGCAAACATGGTTTCATCATTTTACCGTTGTACGCTCTCCTTTTTTATACGCTCTTGATACTATATATAGATAGATCTATATTAATACATGCCTGATACTATGATAATTACTGGATCAAAACCTTGCTTCTCCGTCTATCTCTAATTTCTCTGTATCTCCAATATTTCGTGTAATTAATAATTATAATAATAATCTCGATAATTTCCTGCCGCTTATTCGCAGACACTAGAACTGCCTTCGTAAGATGGCCGAATCGCTCGAACGTAAACACCGTCTGCCAGAAGCTCAATGAGCATCTCGCACGACGACGACCGACACTGCACCAGCCGCTCTCGCTCTGCCCGAGCCATCGCGAGCTGATTGGCCAGCACGCACCGTCCGACGAGTGGCGGCTCCGCCGCGATCAACTACCTGCTGCTGACCGCGGTGACGCGGTTGCCGGCGGCGACGTCGAGACGCTGGCGACGGATGCTGCGGCACCGGCACGATGAGTTGAGGACGATGCGGTGACGGAGTATGCGAGGTTGCTGGGGAAGGATGGGCTGCCGACGCATCTCATCAGGATAGGAGTGTGGGTGAGAGCAGGGTGGAGTAGATGAGGGTGATAGGTAGGGTAGTAGATGCAGGTTAAAGGTGATAAAAAACGGGTTAAGTGATTGGTAGGGCTAGGTAAGGGTGAGGGGTAGGCATAGACGTGGATGAGCGGTGATGAGGCGTGGGAGGACGGCGTAGGTAGCTGGGATGAGGTAAGGGTGAAGGGTAGGGTCGGAGGTAGGGTAGGTAAGTGATGAGGGTAAGTGTAAGTAGTGTGTAAGGGTAGGGTAGGAAGGTAAGGGGTGAGGGTAGGTAGAGTGGATGAGGTAAGGTGGAGGGAGTAAGTGGGGTGAGGGTAAGGGTAGGTAGGGTGAGGAGTATGAGGGTAAGGGTGAGAGAGGGTAGAGTAGATGACGGGTAAGAGGTGATGAGCGTAGTACAGGGCCATGCACGAGGGCTGAGCGGTAAGGGTAAGGTATGAGCGGTAACTGAGTAGCGGTAGGCGTGAGGTAAGGGTGAGGGTAGGGTAGGTAAGGGTGAGGGTAGGGGTGAGAGCAGGGTGGAGTAGATGAGCACGTGTAAGGTAAGTAATGAGGGTAAGGGTGAGGGTAGGGTAGGTAAGGGTGAGGGTAGGGTAGGGTGGGTGAGGATAAGGATGAAGGTGAGAGCAGGGTAGAGTGGGTAAGGGTGAGGGTAAGGTAGGTGAGGGTGAGAGCGGGGTAGAGTAGGTGATATCGTAGGAAGTGAGTGAATTGGAAAAATTGGAAAGGACAGGAGTGAATAAAGTCAAATCTGAATTTATTCACTCAAGATGCTATATCATTCAAGGTATAGCATTCGTTTTTACATAAAACTACCCTTAAAATTCTTAAAACATTATTCTAACATACGAGAATAGGAATATGGGATATAGAAATGTTACTGCAAACTAGGCATCTGTTAAGTGCAAAGTTTGCATTCTCTACACGCGCACAGATAAACACTCACTAAAATACTTAAAACGTTATCCTAGAATATTACTGCAAACTAGGCGTCGGTTAAGTGCAGATTTGTTGCTTTGCTTTCTCTACACAGATACTACAGGCGTTAGTTCTCGTGTCACCGGTTAACCCCGATCGTGTTTACAGGCCCTCGGAGAACTGCAGCACTTGTATCCGACCCAGCCTCCCGTCGACCTCTGCGAACTCCTGTTCACGCACCTGAACACTGCAGGTGACATTGACGATCAGCTCTGCATTGTCAGAGCTCTCACTAGGATGTCGTTAGCAGGTGGAGCCGAGGTGCAACGGACGTGCGAGAGATTACTCGACTCGTACGTGGGCAGCTCGCACATGCTGGTGAATCAGGTAGGTAATCACAGCTGGTGAATCAGGTAGGTAATCACAGCTGGTGAATCGTAGATGTATTTCCTCGGTAGGGCATTGTCCTTACGTGATAACACGTTATGTTTGCATTAAAAAAAATTGGACGTGGTGCTAAAAAAATTCCATTGAGATTAAAACCTGGTTACGTAACCTTGATAAGGATTATAATCAAAATAAGTTTACCAGCTTGCGGCGAACTTGAAATCTTAGTATTAATTCTGGCGATCTCATATGAAAATGATTTATTGCTGTTGGTTCAGCCAGTATATATATCAAGAGTACATAATATCTCCTATTATCTACTCTTGATATATATATATATATCATGTAATAGTGATATTATGTCTCTATGTGTCAATCAGGAGTCATCATATCTAATATATCCCATTATATATATTTGTGCATTTTGTAGCAAATTGGAGAGCTTCAAAGACTACTTAATGCCTGCTCCTCTGAGACATTAGCTACGCTACATGCAGAACCCACAAATGTACGTCTGCTATTATTTTGTTATAAATATTTGCTCGGTAAAATGCTAACTTTAAGCATTGGGATGAACGTCAAAGACTTATCAATCTTTATCAATCACCTCAGAGTTGAACTTATTGAGATGATAACATTAAACCAAAAACATGTAACAACATGGCGAAATAAGCTATAATTTTCTTATAATATTACAGAAGATGTTAGACCTAACAGTACAGCGTAGTACTGCATGAGGCTAACACTAGTTGCATTTCTACCTGGCTGTTGCAATCATTGCATGTCTAACAATGCCTGATTCCTCTGTAGATGGACTTCACCTTGTCCTTCCTAGACAAGTATGTTGGTGATGCGATACGTGAAGGTGCTGCCCCCTATGTACCACCCAACCTCCGGACCAGACCGACGCAGGAATCAAATGAATTCACTCCAGTACCGCCGATGTTTGAGAAAGCATATAAAAGTCCGTGTAGCTCAGCTGCTGGTGACGTAGACAAACCAGAGTCTCTGAAATCGGGGATGTCTGGGACAAGCTCAGCTCGAGAAAGTGGGTAGGTAGCATGCGTTAGTTGCAGACCAGCGAGTCAGTGTGCACTAGCTGTATGGGAGGCGCGTCAGTGTCTAATTTTTAGCTCATCGGACATAGTCAGATGCAGCTTGTAGAATCGCTTGATCGTCCGTCCGTCCGGTCGTCCGGTCGTCCGGTCGTCCGGTCGTCCGGTCGTCCGGTCGTCCGTCAACAGTTGGGCACAAATCTTAACCGCTCGACGTACGGTCACGATATTCGGGTCGTTGGGGGGGGATCGTCAAAACGAGTTGGGAT